TTTAATGCAGTGCCACCTGAGGGCCCAAAGATCACGGCCAGCAATACTGGTTTTTGGCCTCGTCCTTTACATACAGAGATTTCTCCAGATTCTCTGAATCTTTTAATGTTATTATGTACCGTAGATGATGAAAAGCAAAAGTTCTTTGCTGTTTTACGTTGAGAAACGTTAGTCTTGAATTGTTGCACTATTTGATGGTGCAGTCTTTCACAGAGTGGTGAACCCCTCCTCATCTTTACTTCTGAAAGACTCCGCCTCTTTGAGATGCTCTTTTATACCCAGTCATGTTACTGACCTGTTGCCAATTAACCACCAGGTGTTTTTTTAGCATTACACAACTTTTCCAGCCATTTGTTGCCCTAACTTTTTTGTAACGTGTTGTTGGCATCAAATTCAAAATGGGCATATATTTTTCAAAAAACAATACATTGATATGTTGTCTTTGTACTATTTTCAGGGAAATATAGGGTTTAAGTGATTTGCACATCATTGCACAGCGTCCCAACTTTTTTGGAAATGGGGTTGTAAATCATAATGTTATTTAATCTCTCCCCCTCTCTGGAGTGTAATCTGTAGAATGGCCTACGTGCCGCACCGTGCTGCCCCTCCCCTCGTTCTCCGAGCTCCGGTTAGGAACACTGTGCCACAGAAGTTATATAAGATAGAAGGTCAGGAGGTCAGTGACGTTGCATGTGAGTGTGCGTGTCGGAGTAAGTGACAGAGAAAGAGGAGGACAGAGTCAGTGAGAGAGAGAGAGAGAGAGAGAGAGAGAGAGAGAGAGAGGCTAACAGAGAACACAGAGAGAGGAAGAGAGCTTCAAAGAGGATGAGTAAGTGGGAGCGAGGGAAGGAAGAGAGCTGCTGAAAGAGGAAGACAAACACAAACAGTCGATGAATGAGGAGAGAAATAAAGGCTCTGAGAAAATGAACACACACTGCTGAGTTTCTGCTCAGGATTTGGTCATAATTTCCTCAAATTTCCCCATTTTCCGTCCTGCGCCGGGAGGCCTTTCCAAACACAGGCCAAAAAAAGATTCACACGGGTGAAATGAGGTGGGAGAGAAAGGGACTATAGAAGAGTATAAAGCCCAAAGTGTGGGTTATAACAGAGATATTACACTCAGAATGGGGCCTTCGGCACAAAGGAAGAGGCACACAAAGAAAAGCTCTTATCGCAGTGAGGAACGGTGTGAGTTGTGAAGAGGAAGAGCGAGGGGAAAAAAAACAAACAAGAAACACAAGACAGCAGGCACAGGATGCCCGGTGTAAACAAATCAGCGACGAGGGTGGGGGTGCGGAAGAAGGGAATAGAGAGAGAGAGAGAGAGAGAGTGAGAGAGAGAGAGAGAGAGAGAGATTGAGAGAGGAGGGGTGACAAAGCCCTCTCAGTTCCAGTCTTGTTCCACTAACCTACTTACTATAATCTCTCCTCTCCTCCTTTCATAATAGAGACTCCCAGGTTACATCATAGGCCTTCCATTTTACCCTCCCTCCCTCCATCCCTCCCTCCCTCGTTCGCTCAGTCACTCACGCACTTCTGCCCAACTGTTTTCATTCACCGCCTCTGTTATTTTTATCACTGCTATTTGTTTTCATCAAAGACATTCTTAGAATAAACTGTATTTACATAGCCAGCCTGGGCCTCGTCTTTCATTTCTCCCTCTTTCTTTGTCTATCGCTCTGTTTTCTTTGTCTCTCTTTCTCTATCTCCTTTTCTCTTTCTCTCTCTTTCTTTCACTTCTCTCACTCTTTCTCCTCTCTTTCACACTATCTCCTCTCTCTCTTTCTTCTTTCTCATTTTCTCTCTTCTCTCTCTCTTTCACCCTTCTTTGTATCTCTTTCTCTTTCCTCTCTCCTCTATCTCTTCTTTCTTTATCGATCACTGTTTCTTTGTCACTCTTTCTTATTCTCCTCTCTCTCTCCTTCTTTCTCATTTTCTCTCTTCTCTCTCTCTCTTTCACCCTTCTTTATATCTCTTCTCTTTCTCCTGTCTCTTTCCTTTCTCATTTTCTCTCTTCTCTCTCTCTCTCTCTCTCCTTCTTTCTCTTTTTCTCTCTTTCACCCTTCTTTACGTCTCTTTCTCTCATCTTTCCTCTCTCCTCTCTCTTCTCTCTTTATCTATTGCTCTCTGTTTCTTTGTCTCTCTTTCTCATTCTCCTCTCCCTCTGTCTCTCTCTCCTTCTTTTTTCTCATTTTCTCTCTTCTCTCTCTCCTTCTTTCTCTTTTTCTATCTCTTTCACCCTTCTTTGCATCTCTTTCTCTCGTCTCTTTCCTCTCTCTTCTTTATCTATTGCTCTATTTCTTTGTCTCTCTTTCTCATTCTCCTCTCTCTGTCTCCCTCTCCTTCTTCTTTCTCATTTCCTCTCTTCTTTCTCTCTTTCACCCTTCTTTATATCTCTTGATTTTCTCCCATCTCTTTCCTTTCTTACTTTCTCTTTTCTTTCTTTATCTATCACTCTTCGTTTCTTTGTCTCTCTTTCTCTATCTTTTTCTCATTCTCTCTTTCACTTCTCTCATTCTCTCTCGTCTCTCATGCTATCTCCTTTCTCTCTGTCTCGTCTTTCTTTTTTTCTCTCTCTTTCACCCTACTCTCTATCTCTCCTTTCTCTCGTCTCTTCCTTTCACCCTCTCTCTTCTTTCTTTGTCTATCGCTCGCTGTTTCTTTGTCTCTCTTTCTCACTTTCACCCTTCTTTATCTCTTCTCTTTCTCTCATCTCTTTCCTCTCCTCTCTCTCTCTCTCTATCACTCTATTTCTTCTCTCTAGCTCTCTCTTCTTTGTCACCTTTCTCTCTTTTTTTCTCCCTCTATCTCTCTCTGTCACTCCTCCACATACGCTTTGTTAAGCTGAGTGCTCTTTAATGACACTTGATGAGTTGTTGTTGATTACAGATGAGGATCTGATTGTGTGTTTTGTTGTTGTTTACAGACCCGTGAGAGACACAGTGATATTTGCATCTCTTCAGTGTTATTAATGCATCTTATCTGTGATGCTCACACTTTTTATTTCTCCTTTTTCAATCCACTCCTTGAGATTCTTTTTTAATATGATCATTTAGAACTAGAAACTAGACTAAAGTCCCTTAAAGACTGAGAGATTCTAATGTAATATTAGTCATTTTATCATTGAATTTTATGTAACACTCTTTGAGGGATACTTAACCCTTAAAATATCCAGCCTTATTACATCCTAAGGCTTATTATTCAGTAACGACAGTTATTTTTAAGGCATAGACATTTTTGTTAGTATATGTTTAGACCTGCTGGATGGTTCTTGGCCATTTAAATCCCTATTAATGACAAATTATAAACTGCAAAACAGTACTTTTTAAATAATTTTTCCCATCTTTGTTTCAATTTTATAGTAGTAGCTCAGTCATTCCATAGTCATGGCTATATTTATATATTATTTATAGTCATAAAATTCAGGCCTTTGTTAAATTGGTAATATTGGACCATCTTTAGGCCAAAGCCAGGCTGATATGATTAAACTACAGTCACACGCACTTCATAAAGGCATCAAATGCACTGAAATTCCTTCACTTCCAGGTCTGGATTAAAGATGTCCAAGATAAGTAATAATAAATAATAATAAGTAAAAACAACACATTCACTTTAACATCCTACACCTGTTGATCACCCCCTGAGGCGACTGCCGTACACCAACGCAAGTGCCGCCTTCCAGTTTGCCTCTTTTGGTGAGAATTGTGTTGACGGCAATATATTTGAATCATGCAAATTCTAAGCACCAGTGCATTTGAATGAAGCGCAGAGAACAGCCAAGTAAGAACCCAGATAGCAAGCACACATCGAACCATGAACACTCATTTGCATGCTTAAATGGTTATTTGCGTGGTGAAATGGTTCTTCAGATTGACAGAGAATGTGTTGTATATGGTAGAGCCTTTTTGAAAATGGTTCTACGTAGCAACAAAAAGATTCTTCTACTGTAACAAGCTTGACATCATGATGATAGAAGAACGCTTTTGGGTGCTATATGGAACCCTTTTCAAAAAGGTTCACATAGAATCATACACAACACATTCTCCATCAATCTGAAGGACAATTTCACCATGAAAAGAACCATTTGAGCATGCAAAAGGTTCTTTGAGTGTTCATGGTTCTATATAGAACCACGGTCATTACTAAGAGCCCCTGAAGAGCCGTCTTTTTAAGAGTGCAGTTAGTAACATTTGTCTTAGTTTATTCTCCAAAATAAAAGACTATGTGCATTTAAAATCTGAGGAGATGGCTCTTCAGAGGCTCTTAGTAATGACAGTGGTTCTATATAGAACCATATACAACACATTCTCCATCAATCTGAAGAACCATCTCACCATGCAAAGAACCATTTAAGCATGCAAAAGCTTCTTCGAGTGTTTATGGTTTATGGTTTTTAAGACTGGAGTATTTAATCTCCTCAAACTGATTTTAAATGCACACAGTCTTTTATTGTGGAAAATAAGAGAAACAATGCTGAGAGAAACAATGAATGACTAGGCCTAATATACAATGATGTTGCTGACACAGTGCTAGACTGGTTACAGCTGTAGAACCAGCCTTATTTATGATACTGCTGCTAAAATTACATACCAAACTAATTTACAAAGGAAAACAAAAGAGAGAAATAATAGACAAATGAGTAAACTGGACTGTGAGTGGAAAATGAGTGAAGAAAAGTGGCATTTTTATCTAATGCTCTGCTTAATTGCTGGTGGGCCGCCTGGACTACACTGAGCAAAAAGCCATTGGGCCTCCAGCTTTGCCATAAGTGGGCCAACAGCGACCCAATATACTCTAATATACTATCTGGGAGATACCAATGCTAAATATACGTGTGCTAAAAATAGGTGAATGCATGTAAAAACAGTGCGCATGTGCATTAACTGATTATTACTGAGTCAAGTGTGTTTGACCTTTTGACCTCGTTTCGTTTTTGCTTTGATCTCGTCTTCATCTTCTCCTCCTGCCAGCTGAGCGTCTCGAGGGAGACGAACAGAGGCGCGAGGAGCTTCCACAGGAGCAGACCGGGGCGCGAGCACATTCCCGCAGTGCTTGTGGTTGTGCTGCTGCGGTGGTGACACACTGCCACAGTTTCTCACACATACACACCCGGGGGCACGAGGCGGGCTGGTCGAGCGCGAGATCATGTGAGAGTCCACGCGCCGAAAGTAGGTTAGAGAGAGAGAGAGAGAGAGAGAGAGAGAGAGAGAGAGAGAGAGAGAGAGGCAAAGCCGCGGGAGAGGAGAAGGAGAAGTGCATTTACTGTACTGCAACCGCTGCACCGCGTGCATGAATGCAAGAAAAACAAACAAACGAATAAACGAAACAACAACGGCGACGAGATTCGGGCGCATCGGAATAAAAACAGAAAGAAACCTGACCAACATTCGCTCGGTTTGCTCGGTTTTAGCGGAGACGGACAAGCAACAGGAAAACTTATGCGCTTTAGCTGCTTCAGTGTCTTTGCACCGCTCCGCTCCGGAGCTCTGAACATTTCACCTGATTCACACACTCAGCGGTCAGATGTTCTGGAGTTGCACTGTTCGCAGATAATATAGACCTGGCATCAAGATGAGAGGTAAGTTTTGACAGGATATGATGTATAAAATACAGTAAATGCGAGTTGGCTGAACAATTTTAATGCTATTTGTACTTTTACTGGTGTATTCTTGCTTAAAACAGTCTCAAAAAGCTATGACATGTTTTAAGCCAGTCAGATCAACATTTAAGGCTTTTTAAAAATGAAATAAGCTCGTATTCTTTATTATTGCACGTTTATTTGTTCGCGAAGCTTAAGTCAGTTTCGTATTCGCCAGCGTCTTTTTCGAATTTTACCGTTCCACCTTAAATGGTGCGGCGGTTACGCTCTGGTGCCACAGCCCGAACGTTACCGCTGCACCATTTAAGGTGGAACGGGAAAATTCGTGCAAGTAAGCTGGCGAATAGGGAGCCGATGAAGTTTTGGAAGTGCACAGCGCCAACTTAGATTATGTAAGAGGCAAGCTGTGCGATTAAAACTATATTTCGCCACCTACTGACACAGTTTTCGCCCCGCGTTCAAGCAGAAAGCTGACATTTTAAGGCAACGTCTTCTCTGCATGTTTATCATAACGTTAACGCTGTTGTTGGTTATTCTGTTAGCATCGTGTGCTAACTTAACCGCCATGTTGTTGTTTTGAGCTTCAGAGACTTTTTGGTCGCCTGTTTTTAACATTATAACGCCTTAATACGTGTATAAATCACTTGAATGAGAAATGGGGAAGGTTTTTTGAGAGTCTGTGAGTTTTAGAAGGAGTTTTAAGGTGGGAAAGTGTGCGGTTGTTGTTGTTTTTCCGCACCTCGCTGTCGCTATGGCCGCCCTGAGAGTGTGGCACTCATTCGCTGCTCTATTGACCTACTTCTGTCACTGGGAATTAAACCACGGACAAAATAGAAAGGGAATGGGTCCCAAGTGACCGGCGACATGCTGTTCGTACACTGTCATAGCTGTTTAAGTGCTTTAAAAAGCGACGAAAGTGACAAAGCCTCCTTGTTATAATAAATACAGTATAAAAATTGGTGGAGAGCGAAGCGGGGAAACAGCGCCACTCCGGCGAAAAGGTGTCCTTGCAGCCGAGCGATATAGCAAAACATAAAACATCACGATACTGAACAGTTTTCTTGTGATGTGCATCACGATGTTTGGTTTTTCTGAGGTTTATGAGCCAGTTGCGTAATGGAAAAAGTATCGCCAAAACACTGGGGGAACGTTTTTATTTTTTTGTTATTATTTGTATCTGCAAAAATACTATTTAAAGGATGACCCCAGTGAGTTTTCAAAATGTATGCATAATTAGATGGTTTAGGTGTAGACAAAGTCCTTCACAGTGGTTTGATGTGAAATGCTTCATTCTGGAGAAGCAGAATAGTTTAGAATTTTTTACAAAGGTGGTGATAGGAACCAGATGTCCAAACACTTTAATGCTGCTTAAAGCTATCTCATAGATTTATTACATAAAATGGTTTTGAATACACCACCCAATGCATGAGACATTGTTTCATGATAGTTTTCAGAGGTTTTTGACCTAAAACATATTTTAAAAATACACACTTAGCAATGTAATGCAAAATACCTCTTTTAATGACCTTTTTAGACTTACCACAGTTTTACCATTGTCAGCATTATATATGAAAACCGGTGGTTCCAGTGGTCATTTTGGGTAGTAAATAAAATGCTACCCAAGGTGTAAACAGAAAAGTGAATCTTCATGCAATTTATCATGATAATGACAACATATTATCATATTGCCCACCCCTAAGTGAGGCTAACATGAATTTTAACAGAATAAGCAGTGAAACATTGACTTTTCTTATTTTTTACAGTCCTTTTGCCTTCTGAAAGGGGTACAGCTCATATGTTAGGGCTATCTCCCAAACTTTTCTCATTCCAAGTGATCATTGAGGCTGATATGAGCACCAGCATGAAGTTTCAAACTTCTGTTTTTGTTACACTACATTTAGCTTCCCAGCTCCAGTCCTGTTGTCTGGCTTTGCGTGACCGGTTCCTGCACTCAAGTCACACCAGTAGCCAGCAATCCAGTCCATCCTGGTCCATTGAACCAAGGGTGTCAGTCCTGGAAACTGCAGAATTGTTCAGAACAAGTAGATTATGGTAATGGAGTTGGGAAATATCACTGTGGTCAAAACTGTAGCAGCTGAAAATTTTGTTTGGATTGCATAACTGAAGTTTATCAGGCAGCGGAATACGTTTATTATTATGTTTGGTAATGTCACATCATGTGCCCTCATCAAAGAACATCGTAAAAGGGATGGTCACCTAAAACCATGAAAGAAGGTTCTATAGTCAAGGTCTCCTCTCCATATTTCCTTTACTGTTGTCCATGGTCCCCTGCAAAGGCCTAGTTTTATTTCCCCTTCAGTCTTGGAGCCCCTAATCCAGTTGAGTGGCCATGCTGCGAGCCCTCTGTAGTCTATAAATGTCCAGGAATGTTGCGTGAGCTTTGTTAAGGTGTTCTGACACCTGTTCTTGCTCCCATTGAGCTGCTTGGGCCTGAGCTGTTGGCAGAGTTTTATATGGGCTAAGCCACTCAACCGGCTCTGGCTCCTTCTCTTTTTCCATTACAAACATGCGCTTAAGGACACTGGTCTTGGCTTAAGGCAGATAGGCTTGTGATTTAACACTTCGGGAGCGAGTACAACATGCTTACATGGTTATTTGCACTAGGACTACAGCAACTCGGTCATTGACAAAGAACAAAAGCGTTCCATAATGCTGTGTAACGTTCGTATGATCCACGTGGTCATTCTGACAAATTGCAGTACGCTACAGGAAGTGTAGGGGGCAATATAAATCCCTGTATATTTTTAAATGATTGTTAAACACAGCCTTACATGGCAACAATCTTTAGTCTTTAATCTTTAACAATGTACAACAATCATTAGACTTATTATTCAATATATACTATGAATTATTCAGTATCTACCACAATTTATTCAGTATCTACTATGAATAATTCCTTAACTGCTATGAATTATTTATTATTTACCACAATGTATTTAGTATCTACTATGAATTATTAAGTATCTACTGTGAATTATCCAGTATATATAATATGATTTTTTCAGTATCTACCACAATGTATTTAATATCGACTATGAATTACTATGAATTGTTCATTATCTACCACAATTTATTCAGTGTCCACAATGAATAATTCAGTAACTACTATGAATTATTCAGTATCTATCACAATTTATTCACTATCCACTATGAAGTATTCAATATCTACCACAATCCAGTGAGTATCTACCACAATCTAATCAGTGTTTACCGCAGTCTAATCAGTATCTACCATGTATTTTTCAGTAGCTACTATGAATTATTCAGTATCTACCACAATTTATTCAGTATCTACCACAATTTATTCAGTAACTACTGTGAGTTATTCATTATTTACTATAAATTATTCAGTTTCTACTATGAATTATTCAGTATCTACTATGAACTATTCAGTATCTACTATGAATTATTAAGTATATAATGGATTTTTTACTATCTACCACAATTTATTCGCTAACTAATATGAATTATTCAGTATCTACCACAATTTGTTCAGTATCTACTATCAAACTAATGTTTAAGTTTAATATTATGTTTAATGTTCAAATCCTGTAGTTAGAGTGAGTTGAAATGTGGACAAACATGAAGTCCATCCTGGTCCTGGTCTTAAACCGTTAATGTTGAAGAGGTTAGTTCATTAATCTGTAACATTTTAAACATGTAAACGTGATTGTCCTTCATTTTGTGGAGCAGCTCTTCATATGAATTGAGTGACCGGGAGAAAATCAGTCGGGGGTAAGTGGATTGGCCAGATTTCATTAGTGGAGAGGGGTTTTGCAGGTAGTCTGTGGCTGCTACCCAACGCCACCACACATCAAGATAATCAACAACCATCAACCGCCACCTCATAACACCCGATCCGGGGCTTTAATTCAGTGGCGTTACGTATACTGAAGAATTACTTAAGCCCTCCGTGCATATTTAAAGAACCTGCGGTGTCATTCCACCAGCTTATTTTACCAAACACAGGCGGCTCGGTTTTGGTCTGTTTTTAAGCTGTAGCAGTGGAGAACTGTGACTGTCAGAGCTTGGCCCTCGGTTTGGGCCACAAATCTCACTCAGAACTCAAAAATGAGGGAAAAACACCTCTAGGGTAATGCTAATTTCTGCTAGCATGCCTGTGTGATTCTAATACTATGTTAGCCCCAAGCTAGTGGCAATTCACACATTTTATTTACCTGTTCAAGATTAAACGTCAACATTTAAAGGTTGTAAAAAACATTCCATGTTTCATTTGAAGTTTGTAACAGACATTAGCATATTGCTGTTATATCTCCAAAATGGTAACTTTACAGGAGAAGGAAAAAACATACTTTACTTTTAATGTAAGTCAATGGAACCAGACTTTTTTCCAAGTAAATTTAGGTCATTTCTTTTGGTCCATTCATCATGAAATTTATGTACTATGTAAAGGACAAAAAGTATTTTCAAATTATGTCAAAAAGTGAAAAATGTCAAAAATGGACGTACAAGGTTTTCTTCCGACAGCAGCAATATATTTGAGTTTATATGTGCAGTTTTAGCGACTCAGTAAAGAGTCCTGGCATAGAGCTGCCGGCACTTTTCGTTTTCACAGTCAGTGACGTATCTAGAACTATACTCTAGAAGTACTAGAGTGATTTTTTTAATCACAAAATTAGTCCCATCGTAAATCAAAGAATGACTGATTGACTCCTTGGTCCTCAAATGCTTTGATTTACAATGGGACCCCAAAATTGGTCCCATTGTAATTCAAAGTATGATTGATTGATTAATGGACTTGGGGCATATCTAGTACATTTTTTAAAAACTTTATGAATCAGTGTAAAGCCTTCTGTCCAGCTCCTGATGTCCAAACCAATGGGAGAGCTTACTTGATCAAACCTACCTAGATACCCCTAAGAAAACCGTCCTGACTATTTCAAGAATTTAACCCTTTTGTTTTCTACCAGGGTTTAACAGTGTGGGTACATTTCCAA